GGGGAGGGTGGCAACCCGTATTATAGTTCTGCACTGGACAAGTTGATCGATGAACCCAGGATGTCATGTTCTAGCAGTCAGGGGACTGGTAATCTTGGCAACCCCTACTACTCCTCCAAGCTGAATGGTGAGGCCAGTACACCAGTACGCCAGTACGCCAGTACACTCCTCCACTTGTAGTTCTGTCTCCATACTCACTGTTTGCTTTGCATACTTGCATCCCTCCAGGTTAAGTCAAACGTTTGATATTAGCTTCTCCTACACAGTTGAAGAGTGTACATGCTTAAGTGTCGGTATGCTTTTTAAAAAAAACCCATTTATTTAATTTTCTAAATTTTATATTTTGCGTTTTACTTCTTCAGTTCAGAAAATATTTTTGGCATTTGTTACACTTTTTTTATTTTGAACTGGTACTACCACTTATTTGTTATCCATAATAATTACAAAAGACATACAGTGCTATTCACTTTATATGACCAGGGTGTCACGAGTTTATCAGTCTATAAGGTTGGTGCTGTTTCAGTTTAAATATATCAAACCTTTGACATCACCTGCATACCTCTCTATACTCAAATATTTATCAATGTTTGTTGTTGGTAACCTATAACAAAACACCTTACTTTGAACAGATATCTCAAGAAATATTGTATGGTTTGAACCTGTACTGATTCTACCAGACTGCCATTCAAGCAAATTCTGTGTCACCTGCAGTAACAAAAGATAAAAATGATGTGTAATTGTGAATTCATGTACCAAGTAGGGCTGGGACGGGTAACCTGGATACTTTCGGACGGGTGGATAATGAGTTGGACCCGGTACCAGTCTCAATACCCGGACCCGTTATGATCACGTGACTAATAGATTAAACAATGTAAAATGTTATTCGTTCATGATTAAAATGTTGTATTGTCTTTGAAGATTGAGACATAAATTACAGTCACCTGTTTTGAATATAATACATGGTTAAGATATTGAAAAACTCAAAATTTTAGCCACCAATCTGAAGAATATCTTGCCATTTCTTACAAATTTGATGTCAGGAATTAACATAACGGGTATTAGGGTAGGGAAATAGAGGGTGGGCTGCCTGGGTAGAAAATTTGGACCCATCCCAGCCCTAGTACCAAGTGTTTTGGTTGAAAGTGGATCGACATATATGTTATGTCACTGTGTACAGTAGGTGTCACGTGGCCAAAGAGACTTGGCTGATATTGTGTCATCATACCCTGACTGTGGATTGTTGCTCATGATATCAGCCACTGGGTTGTTCAACCTTGACTTGATTACGCACATGCCTTCATCGTGTAGCTGAATCATTGCTGAGTGTGATAGCAGACAACAAAACAAACTTGTCCAGCAAATCTCCATATGAGTTGTTCAGTTTTTCCTTATGCAAGTATATCATTTTGCCAGCAAATAGTGCCGTCACAGATTTCAGTGATCCACAGATTTCAGATAATTATTGACTCGATAAAATTGCAAAAATACCAAATGGAAATAAAGGAGGAGTATTTCACAGGTTGCATGGCTGACACACAACACTTGGTCTGCATTTACCATCGTAGTTTCACTTTTCGTGTTTCTTACAGATTTTAGCTACATTGTCAATTAAATTGTTGATAATATCAAACACTAACTTTTCCTTGCTAATTGAATCAGTTTTCCTTTAAAAAACTCGACGAGTTTCTTTTGGTGAGCCATTCTGACTGCAGACGACAGGAAATAAATGAGCTATTGCACATTAAATGTTTTCCTATGCTGGTTTAGGGCCATCATGTAATCTACAGTAGCACTAAAGCTGTATTATGGCTGATAAGGACCGGAAACGTAATAGAAATGCTGTTTAAGGGCTAGGTTTTAAACAAATTGTGCCCCGAACGTGGATTAGGAATGATAGCGGTCGTCATTCAGAAAAACTAGACAGTCTTCGCTTCAATAGAGACTAGCAACACTATTCGAATTCTTAAGATCAGATGTGTAAGACTGAAACAATATTTTGACAGGTTTGGTTTACACATGTAAACAAAATCTGACTCGTATTCTGAGAAAGTTACGAGTATATTTCACTCATTGACTTGACTTTTAATGCTTATATCTGAATTACCCATGCATATTTTACTCAGATGCGCATCTTATCTGGAGCCCTGGATCTGTTTATGTAATTTTCACCACTGTTTTGAATTTTGTGGCAAATGGAATTGTTTATGGCAGATAATTCTCTAGTTTATAGAATGTTTATACTAAACATGTTAACAGTGACTAATTGGTCGGGCTGGCCTTCAGTATAGATCACAGAGATTAATAATCTTGGACTAAATATATAGTAATGAAATATGTTTTAATTTACTCTCACAATCCACAAAGTTAGGTCTTCATGAGATACTTCTATGTAATGTTCAGGATACTGTCTTTTGCAGGTAATCCATGGATAATGTGTCACCACACACATCAGTGATATGAAATATGTTGATTTTCAGATGTTTTAGCATTATTGCTCAAGGTTACTTCAGTGATATTAATCAATAATCGTTCAAGTTTATATGCGATGTTATTAAAGACAATATTCACATTGATTATCAGTCCTTTTAGCCAGCCTAACTAATTGGCTACATTGTTCTTATGCATCATGTATGATCATGGCAAGTATCTAGTGTGCCTCTGTTTGAGAGTGTAAGTGTCCCAGAACACTATGATCACAGGGATGTTGATGAAGAATAGAGACTGTTTGTGTATGTGAAGTTTTACAATGTTTACATAGCAACTAAACACAGGAACATTACAAGATTTTCAATTTAACTTCATCATGATTATCATTGCCCTCGTATGCAAGTGGAGAATCATGATGTGTGTCCATGGAAAAGACTTAGCTAGTCTTACTATCTCAGTGACACTTAATCCTCTCAATGCTGGTGTCATACCCACGTGACAGTGTGTGTCACTAGCTGTCCTGCTGGTGTCAAACCCATTCAACAGGCTGATGACACAAGACACCTTCAAATACAGCTCGCAAAAACTATTTACCAAGTAGGATTTAGCAGGGTATGTGGATCGTCACACACAACACTGGTCTTCTGGTAACTTGAGATGTAATGTGCAGAGCTACAGATAACTTTTTGGGTCATTGAGTTATGTACTCCCTTGTCTTCATCTCAATTGGGTCACATCCTAATTTTCCTTTGAGTAACGAAATAAATTGTACTCACCCCACTCAAACTGAATTGGGTATTTTGCAATTTTCCATTAATTTTAAAAATATAATAAAGTTAAAATGTTAGTGTTTGTGATTTACATTTGATCTGCAATATGGGAAACAATAAGCAAGACTGCAAGTTGTCAAGTTCACGTCCTGAAATAGAACCTCTCAATATACTTCAGTTATTTTATCTATCCACCGGTACGCAAGCAACGATTTGACGTTTTTGTGTGTACGCATGTAAGATCACATTTATTGAGTATTTACAAAAATTCAAGCGTACTTGTACGCAATAGACTATAGGAATTGAGTTTTCATATAAATATTTGCGTAATTTACGCAGATACACAAAAAATGAAACATACCACTTTATGGATGACCACTTCTTGTTTATTGCATAGAGAACGATTAGATGTAGATTCTTACACCGTTATCAAGCTAAAAGTCGCTGTATGCAATAAACAAGAAGTTGACATCCATAAAGTGGTATGTTTCGTGTACAATGAACATCACTGCCAAAAAATCTTTTCAAGTGAACTGTATCAATTATTCGCCCTATAAATAAAACATTCTGGAACTGCTAATGTGATGCCCATTAACCTGTTTCTGACTCTGTGCTACTGAATGTTCCATACAAATTCTGTCACTCAGTATATTTCTCACTTTTGATCTGTTATTTTCATGATATGGATGTTGTTGGTGTGCATTGTGTTGAAAGCACATGAATTGAAATATCCCTTGGAAGATAAAATTTTATTTTGTGCCTGTTTTGTGGAGCCAGTACTTTCTTCAACCAGATGGAAAGTGCTAGCCCCAGTACTTTTCCCTATATATGTTTATGCGACTGACAATACCCTGATAATAGAAATGTAGTATTGTTGTCTTTCCCAATTAATTTGTATGCATCATAGCTTGCCCTTAAGTTTTTAGCCTGTCTTGATTTGAATAAGGTTGATGGATTTTTCTTTAAATTCTTGTGAAAGTGGTGGTGTTTCTGATGTTGCTATTCTCTTGCCAGCATTAAAAACACAATATTGTTACAATGGCAACTCTTTTGAGCATTGGCCTACCTCTGTTTATGAAATAGAATTTGAAGATTATATTGGAATTGAGTTTTTGATGCTGGATTAGTAAGTGTAGCAAAGCAATCTTATTTATGCTTTAGGATTTTAGTTCTTTTGCCACGGGATTAGAATTTGGTGGCACTTGTGCTATGCACTAGTACGGAGCAGTTTGCCAGTTGCATGCTGAAACCTAATGAACTTGAAACTAAGCTAAATTATATACTTATGTGGCCATTCACATTGTGGAAACCAGGCCTGTAGGTGTTATGCTCACCTTCACTACAAAATGAATGTTGTGTTTCAAAGAAGTTATACTTCCATCCACAGTTTAATTTTTGCCCAGCTGTTGTCTTCTGTTGTTGTCATTGTGTAATGTTGTTGATGGGAGTTTGCAGTGAGAAAAATAATAACAGATTGTTGTGTTGTATTTTGGTTAATATAACATTCAGAAAATCATCAACTTGCAACTAATTATTATAACGACATAGACTCTAGGGTACATTTGGTGGGATGGGAAGTGTCTCCCTGGAATTTCTGTCCAAAAAAAATTCATTCAAAAAATTCTGAAGGCTGTGGTTCACCACCTTCATCATCCATAAATTATATTTTCATTTATGACCTTACAGTTCGGAAAAATAATATGTCTTTCACTAACTGATTTAAAAATATGGACTTTGCCAGTGATGAATGAATCCAGTTTTATTTCATGTCTGACTGTTGGTTCTGTCTCTCAGACACTTCAGATGTGCAGTTCCTGTATATTGAGGAGGCAACAGAGGAACAGAAGGCCAGAGCCAGAAAGTACCTGCTGCCAGAGTCATTCTACCTCTATGAAAACAAACCCCCCCTGTCCGGGCTGTATTGGCTGCGAGGACTATGACCCCAGTAAAGTCAATGTTCCCGGCAAGGTCAAAGCAAAATGTGAGTCTTATCTTCATGAGGTTATGTCTAACAGGATGAAGATGTGGTTCTTGAACAAGAATATAAAGCCTGTGTAATGGAGAGCTTTTCCTCTTCTTGCAACTGAGCACATGTGATATTATTACTTTATTTCAAAGTTTAGTATTTCCAAAGTTAATTTAGTATTCATTTATCATTACAGCAAAATCTGAGGAGACAAGTCCAGCACCTAGAACAACTTCAGTTAAAGTGTCAAGCAGTGCCAGCAGTAAGTGGATATTGCTAGATAGTATTTATCAACGCCATCAAGCAATCAGTATTGCAACAACTTTATTTATTCAACAGCTATGTGCAAACTGTGAGCAAACAAATCACTGCCTAATGTTTTTAACATGTTTCTGTATCAAATGGATTGTATGTTTATGTGTATCCTACATTCAATGCATGAACAAAACTAAAAATGTTCCCAAAGAAATAGACAGTTCCAGCACAAGTGTATATGTAAAACACCAATTATAAGTAAACATGGAATTCTACCACATAAAAGGAAGTAATATCAAAATGGATGGTTGTATCTAATATATATTTGTCCTATTATTCCCATATTCACCTCATTGTGTAAGTGTCATTTGATTCAGAGATCATGGACATAAAAGAAATCAGAAACATTCTGACAACCTGTGTATTATTGATTTTAAAGAGAAATGGTCAAAAACACTGATAAAACTATTGTCCTTGTGCATAATTTTCCTTCTGACATGGTGGCACACACTGTTGAATTTGCCAAATCTTTGTAGAGTATCTATATGTAATTCTCTAATTCTTGCTACTGCAATCTTCCCAAGAATATCCTGAAAACATAGACAACTTGACCTCTGAAAATAAGACAAAATGCTCCTGGGTTTGTGTTTGCATATCATTATCCCCCGCCTCGCGTTTAGCGCAAAGCGGGGGATATAGTATTAGGCTCCGTCCGTCCGTCTGTACGAATTGGAATATCTTAAGAACCGTTGACTAGATTTCATATTTGGTACCGACGTTCATCACAGTATAAGAAAGGTCCCAGTCAGGTTTGGTGACCTTGACCTTCATTTCAAGGTCACAAGGGGACTTAAACGTTTTACTCTTGTCAGCGAGATATCTCAAAAACCGTTTACTAGATTTTCTTCATATTCAACACCAAGCTTTATCTAGGGAAGGCGCAAGGCACAGTTGATTTTGGTGACCTTCACTTAATTTTCAAGGTCATGGTGACACTTTGAAGATTTCAGCATATTAACCTGCATGTTATGCTTGTCAGCGAGATACCTCAAGAACCATTCACTGGATTTTCTTCATATTTGACACCTAGCTTCATCTAGGGAAAGTGCAAGGCCCAGTCGATTTTGGTGACCGTCATTTAATTTTCAAGGTCACAAAGACACTTTGAAGATTTCAGCATGTTAACCTGAATTCACTGGATTTTCTTCATAGACTTTCAAGACTTCCCTTGAATGTTTTTCAATAAGCAATTTCTTTAGTACCATTTTTGCATATTTCATACACTTACATTCATGTCAAGGTCAAAGTCAGTCTTGAAAATGTTTGTGTGTTTGAACAACTAAAGAGCAAGATATCAAGAGAGGTTGACATTTAACTTCATCTTAAACTTTCATTACTTTTTAAGTTTGATTTGATAATTTGCGGCAGGGGATTATGTCACCTTAGTGACAATGCTTGTTCTAAATGATTCTGGGGTTCTTGGCAATGTTACAGAATGATCATGAGTGATTAGATACTATACAGATATTTGTGATCACTGATATGCTCTTTTTTTGATTAAATTCTCTGATTAAATATCTGATTATTAGATTTACAAACATACATTTGATAGGTAATTTTTTTTAGAAAGGCTTCCACTGTACCTTAAATTCAGAGGTCGTTTTCAGTGATATTGCTTTCCTTGAAATGACAGTGGATGATAGAGAACCAGAAATTCCTTGCAGAATTCCAAACTCTCATGTGTATTTGTGTTCATGATCTATGTTCAATCATATTTGACATAAAGTGAGGGTTGAAAGGGGGGACATAATGCTGCTTTGGCGTCCAGGGGGATAAGTAACAAGCTCACCAGAACACAGTGCTGTTTGCATTATTGACATATCTACCACCAGGTGTTGCAGGCAGTGTTGGTGCCAGTGAAGGGTTCTCTATGTTCGGTCACGCTTCAGGGATGTCCTTCTCTACCCTAGCTGCACAGGGGGATGCAGTTGGATTTGCTTTCAAGAAAGGCAAGTAAATAGTTACCTTCATATGTCTTAGAATTATTTGCGACTGTTGAACTATCTGACCATTTGATTTATATTCTGTATTGATATAGCTAGAGTAAATATTATCCCCAAATGTAATTCCCAGCAGGTAGTCTGCATTAATTCTGAAGGAAACATCTTAAATTGGAATTAAAGTGTTTGTAATTCTTGTTCAGACAGTTATATATTATGATATTAGAGAGGAAGAAGCTTTATTGTTTCACATTATTGAATGTAAAGTTGAAGGAGATAGGAACATAAAAACTAGGTGGGGAATATAGGATCAAAATTGTCTGTTTTCAGTCCACTTCTCATTGATTACAAATCTTCTCGAAACTGTTTAAGTTAAAGCAATGAAATCTGACAAACTGATGTAACTGGTCACTATCTCAAATGAGTTGTAATAATGGTGTCTTAAATTTATTTAGAGATTTTCCTGCTCCATACTTTCCCACTCATATTTGTCAAAATGCTTGGACTGACACTCCATGTTTATCTATCTCAGATGAAAACAGACCATTCCAGTGGTCAGGAGCAGGTCAACAGATCTTTGGGTCATCTCCAGGTGGCAACAGGACCAATGATGGTGATGATGATGAGGTTGCGCAGGGTGATGACATTGACTTTAAACCCATCATTGAACTTCCAGAACTAGTTGAAGTCAAAACAGGTGAGGTCAAAGCCAGACTGTGCTTTCTTGTTCATAGAATGTTTGTCCTTGTGTGTGAAGTAAATGTGAATGTTGATTCATTTTTGTCCTAATTTGTCTATATCATATGTTATATTTGGAATTACACTGTCTGAGTAAGTACAGATTCTAGTACTTTTGTTAGGTTGATACCCATCCAGGATTCGAACCCACACTCTCAAGAGTCAGGCACCTAATTGCCAGCACACAATATCAGCCATCTAACCCACTTACCCAGTGTGGCTTCCACTTATTATTTTGTCTGCATGTCTAATTTGGGTTTTAATGTTCTCACAGGTGAAGAAGGCTGGGAGGTGGTGTACTGTCAGAGGTCGAAGTTGTTCCGATTTGTGCGCGATTCCAACCAGTGGAAGGAGAGAGCTGTGGGAGACATGAAGATCCTCAAACAAGATGGTGAGTCTGGCTTCTCATGGATTGGCATGCCCTGTCGTAGTCCAGACTGGACCATATACATGCTTCCATCATACAACTTACAATACCAACTGACAGTCTATGGATGTGCCTCTGAAGAATTTCAGATCCCCAGTAACACATGCTTGTTGTAACCTAGGCTCGCTGACTTGGTTGACACATGTCATTGGTTCCCAATTGCGCAGATCGATGCTCATGCTGTTGATCACTGGATTGGCTGGTCCAGACTCGGTTATTTACAGACTGCTGCCATGTAGCTGGAATATTGCTGAGTGCGGCGTAAAACTAAGCTCACTCTCACTCACTGAAAGAAGTCGAAGAACCGTACTGTAATGTTCATCAATGGTAGACTTGTTGATATTTTTTTTAATGTTTTCTTTATTTCTAATGGCCCAAGAATGTATTCACATAAATACATTGTTCCTCATTTATGTATGTTTTTCATTCTGTTGTAAACCATTGCAGACAAATATCGAATGCTGATGAGGCGAGATCAAGTACATAAAGTGGCCTGTAATCATCTGATAGCTCCCAACATGATCCTGTCTCCCATGGCAACATCAGAGACAGCCTGGTGCTGGACTGCTCAAGACTATGCTGAAAACGAGGCAAAGATTGAACAGTTTGCCCTCAGGTTCAAGGTCAGTCACCAGAGATAACAGATATGTCTGGGGCATACTTGCGTTTCGATGCATCAGCGTAGATGACACTTCAGTGATTGGTTAATTTTTCTGTTAAGAAAGGATGTACGTTTTAAAGGGTTTGGGAGGTATCATGTATCTTCGGGGCTGTCTCTCCCTCTCTCTTTCCCCCACTTTCCTTTTCCTTCCTCTCTCTCTCTCTCTCTCTCTCTCCCCTCTCTCCTCTCTCCTCTCTCTCTCTCTCTCTCTCTCTCTCTCTCTCTCTCTCTCTTCTTTCTCCATTACATATGAAAGATTTAGGTTATCCCTCTCCCTCTCTCTCTTTTAACGCTTTTATGGGTATGAAAATGTGACTCCGCCCTTTTGGGGTATGAAAATGGACTCCGTCCGTGCGTGCGTGCGTCCGTCCGTCCGTCCGTGCATATTTGTCTTTTCCGGAGAACTTTAAAACCGTTCAATATTTCTTCACCAAACTTGGCACATACATGGATCTGGTGGTGTACTGGTGCCTTTTGGAATTTTGAATTAAATGCTTTTGGCGTTTCCATGGCAACAAGTTCGACTTTGACTGAAATTGGTGGTAGTGCTCTTTTCTGGAGCAGAACTCTAAAACCATTCACTATCTCTTCACAAAACTTGGCACATAGATAGATCTGGTGGTGTACTGGTGCCTTTTGGTAGTTTTGGAATTCTGAATAAAATATTTTTGGCGTTTCCATGGCAACAAGTTTGACTTAGACTGAAATTGGTGATAGTGCTCCTTTCTGGAGCAGAACTTTCAAAACCTTTCAATACTCTCCTTCCACTTTTCTATATACACACCTAAATATTTGACATAATCATAACTCGTAGACATAATCATGAAGAGTATTTTGCCATTGCGGGGGATATTGAAGACTTTGTCTTCTTGTTAGTCTTATGGGGAACACCAAATTCATTCTTAAAAAACTTTGGTTAATTAATACCGAGCGATTAAAAGTTGCCAAAAGTCGCCTACTTCACTCTCGCCCGCCAACGAAACCACAGACAGGTTATGTAACTCTGTCGCCAGAGCACTGCAGTGACGTCATGTGAGGAAGGATTTTCAGTTAGTTGTATATAAAGTGTGTAGCAAGCTTGTCATTTTGATGATTTCTCGACATCAATGAAGACATGCCGAATCGTTGCGTTGTCGTCAATTGCTCCTAGGGGTCGGGCGATGGTGTCACCATGCACAGATTTCCACAGGACCCTGCAGTTCGTGCTAAATGGGTTATGTTTGTGAGTGTGATGCGAGCGTTGTGGAAGCCTGGAACGATATCTTACTTGTGTTCAGATTGCTTCACGGAAGTTAAAGAATCAAAACTACTTACTAGTTGTAGTAAAATATGTATATGATTGATGACCATAAAGATTTTCCATGACACAACTTGTAACATAACGATTTCTTCCTCGGAAGCGAGGTTGTGGTCGAAGTGACAATCATATTGTAAGTAGTATTATATTGACACCCAACTCGCTTCCACGAGAGAAATTGTTATTTTATAAGCTATGTCATGCAAAATCCTATTGGCCATCAATCAAATACATATTTTACTACCAGTAGAAACTAGTTTTGATTTTGTAACTCGTTGATAACAAACCTTAATAGCTTTATCCTCAGACTAGCGGATGTTCGTGACAGGGCGCTGCCATTTTTGAAAATCGTGAAGTCACGGGCTAAAGTCTGTTAGAATGAATGAGATTATGGTTTGTTTTCATCAAGTTAGAAAATCAAACCTACTTTCTACTCGTAGTTAAATATGTATTTGAATCATGACCAAAAGGATTTTGCATGACACAACTTAATTGTAACATAAGGATGTCTTCCACAGAAGCGAGGTGGGGGTCGAAGTGACAATACTGCGCAATAAATTTCTTTACAGTATTAATTGCTGTATTGCATGCAGTTTTAATTGCATGTGAAAACTTATGGGCCGACACTTTGAGAATACTTAACAGAACTTCATTGTTGCATAAGAAATACATATAAGCATTTGCTGTGTGCTATAACTATGTACCTATTTACCTAAGTAAATTTTCAGATTCTTCTAGCAATGGCAAAACAAACTTGTAGGGTTGTTTAGTTTACGGATTCAAATAAATCAAATGTCATTTTTAATATCATACGTAATAGACGCGAGGACTGATTACCTTGTTTTTTCATATTTTTACATGACATGATTAAATATCGAGGTAAAACCCAGAAATGGGATCAATTTGGATCAGTCATACCATCCAGGCATTAGAAAACTTGAAAGAGCCCACACTGCTTTGATACTTTTATTACAATCAGACAAGAACTACTGGGGATATTTTCAAATAACTGGCCTCCACCCTTCTTAATGTCGCACTGTTTAGGTTGAAGAAATTAACCGTAACCGTGATGAGCGAGGCTGATCATCGTTTTCACTATCACTAGCGCCTGGCTCGAACAAATAAGGCCTAGTGACAACAAGCGATTTTGACAGAATCGTCTATGAAAGCAAGTTGTAACTCGGAAACTAGGCAAAGCAGGAGACAAAATTAAATGACAGTAGATTGTGAAAACATATAGCTTTCATTTTTCACAAAAGTTGTCACGATTTCAGGTTTATACAAACCAGTAAACAAGATAATTTACCCCCTGAAATGTAGATGAATTCTGCATCGGCCCTCATATCTATTCCTCACGACGTCACAGACGTGCCGCTCTGATTGGTTGAAAGAATAAATATCCCCTTTGAAAGAAAACATAGTGGGCTCCCTCCAGAATATCCAATCATGGGTTTGTAAGGAAGGCTCTACATTTAAATATTTGTTGTACATTCGTCGTTAAAATTGGATGCATGGTGTATATCATCACCTCATGTGTGAGTCATGTATTGCAGACGGAAGAGCTGGCCAGACAGTTCAAGAAGAAGTTTGAAGAGGTTCAGGAGCTGGTCAGACAAACAGAAGCTGGTATGTGTCAGACTACCTCTTTCCCCAGTGAACCAAAGTAATTAAATCTAAACCTGAACGATCATAAATAACATCATACAGAATGGTGTGTTTCTTATTCAGACAGCAACTAATGGCATATATGCCATTTGATTTTAGTAGATTCTTAGATAAACCATTTTGCTCCTCTCAGTTTATCTATCACCTGAAAGAGGAACTGATATTGTATTACCAGCAGCCCCAGCTAAGAATGCCAACAACTCGGCAACTGAGTCCAAAAGTCAGGAAGTCTCTGTGACAGAGGAAGAAGAAGATGATGACGAGGATGATGATGATGATTCTGAGGAAGAAAGCATTGTGTTTGAGAAGAGAGCTACGTTGACATATTTTGAGGATGATGAGTGGAAGGTGAGATATTGATGCTATGTTGTGTCTCACACAATGTAGGTATGAAGAAGATGAATGGCTATACAGGAGCCCTGTGTTGATGCACTGGCGAAAGAAACACACATTGGGCACATCCATACATGGGAAGAGATTTGTAAACAGTTTCAAAATCCAGCTGTTGCATTACTACAAGACTGTTAGGGTCGAACCCTGTCATCTTGAACCTAGCGGGACTGTGGTGTAACTGAGACATATCAGGACGTACAAGATGATAAACGAAGGACATCCAGAGAACTCAAGATTAACAGTAACAGTGATGAAATTAGAGATAAGCAGGCGTTTTGTTAGGTATTTAGGTTGTGAATCAGTCGGGAGGGGATAATATGTCCGAGATATTGTTACATTTGAGAGAGTGTAGTTTGAGACAGATTGTGTTGACTATTTAAGCACACAACATTATATCAGTTGATGTTCATGACACCATTATCAAAGGCACTAAACTTCTGTATGCAAGGTGTCCTCCATTAAATGGGATGGAAACCAGTAATGTTGTGTTGTGGTCACTTTGTTTCAGGTTTATCAGCACCGTACCACAGCTTTAGGGGTTCACTGAACTAGTAAACATCACTTCTGGCTTTCCTTCCACGTTAATCTGAAATAGTGTTATATAACTGAAAACACTGTTGAATAACAATAGAAACCAAATTAAGCACATTGCATCTACATACTTACAACACATTCACAGATTCACTGATACATTGATGTATACGTCTGTTGATTAACGCCACTGAGCATCTGAAAGGTGGATATTAGGCGCTTTACAAATGAATTATTATTATTTTTATTATTATTATTATTATTATTATACCACCTTGTACTTGGAGCTTTATTGAGAATTATCTTCTTTCTAGAAACTTGGAATGGGCAACCTGAAGATCCTGTACAATGAAGATCTGAATGGAAACCAAATTGACATGGACACAGATGACAAATTAAAAATCTGCAACCATATCATTTGCCGGGAACACTCAATAAGACTGTAAGTCAGTTGAGATTACTTCACCTTAAAGATATTGCTTGTTAGGAAAACTGTTTTGTGTGTGTGGATGTGTGCTTGCCCTTGTCTGGACTTAAGTTTGATGTGCAGAGATGGCATGCTGCAGTTTGATATGGATACCCAACTTGAATTGAATACTGACACTCAGCCAACTGTTGTTGTTTTGGGGCATCAAGAGGCCAGTGATTGAACCACCTCTCTTGCTGTTTTCTCATGGAAGGACTCTGTATCCACTTGCAGGGATTGGGAAAGGCAGGGGCCATGGGCCATTTTGTCACATTAGAATATTAAATGGCCCATTAAAAGTTTGAAGTTTACTATTGATACAAGGGCAGTGGCCCATTCTAAATTCAGAAAGTGGCTAATAATCCTGAAAATGGCCCATTGTCAAAGTTCTCTGTCCCAATCCCTGCACTTTAACAAGGATTTGGAGGGAAAATGTAAAAGGCCCAAAAAATGTGACTTACTAATGTTTGAAATTATATGAAATATGACATAAGTCAAGTGTTTGATGCTCAGAGACTCATTCTTGTCAGTTGTGTGTTCCGGTGAGACTTAAGAGGTGCTTCTGGAGGCCATGCTCGATACTGAAACGTCATTTCCCATGACTCTTTAAGTGATGCTACCAAATACCGCAATCTAACAATGTCTTATTGACATCATTTGTGTGTTTAGTTGGTTTATTTTGCATGTTTTCATTAACGAACATCAGTTGCTATTCACCACTGTATCACAGGCTTATGTGATTCGCATTTTTGGGAACTTGAGTTTCTATATAGTATTTGTGAAATTCCTGTCTGAGAAGATAATGGCAAGTTCTTTAGTTAACATAAGACTATGGCAGTCAAGTTACCAAAGTCTTTGCAGTGTGTACATACATACCTATACTATTGGCCCTTGTCTGTCGTGTCATGTTGCTGATATTCCAAACTTGATGTCATCCCTCCGTGATTGTTCATACATCCAGAGAGATGCCGAAGAGAGCATGTATGTGGAGTGCCCAAGACTTCTCAACAGATGAGCCAGTCAAGAGGAACTTCAAGGCATCTTTCAGCTCAGTAGCTGCTGCGGAGGAGTTTGCTAAATCTTTTATGGAGGTAAGACATGCTTGTTTTTGTTACCCATTCTTATGTTTAGCACTTTCCCAAGAAGTCAATGTCTCTTATGTCATCGCCTGTTTGTCATACATCTGTCATCCATCATCCATAATAAACATCATCTCACCCGCGAAGATCCAGATTAGAATTGGTCTTCAGCAATCCACGCTTGTCATTCTAGGCGGGATCGGGTGGTCAGGCTGGTTGACACGTCATTGTGTCCCAATTGCATGGATCGATGCTCATGCTGCTGATCAGTGGATTGTCTGGTCCAAAATTGATTATTTACAGACTGCCGTCATATAGCTGGAATGTTGCTGAGTGCGCCGTTAAGCAATAAATCAACCAGCCATTTTACACATCGCCTTAATATGAATAGCTTCATTGTTTAGATTATTAATGGATTCATGATAAATTCGCAGATACCTCTCGTTACATTATATAATGATTTTATGCAGAAAAAGTCAATGCATGGTTGTACTGAATGTATTTCAATTGAATTGGGTGTTGGTGTTGTGAACAACTGAAAAGTTTGTTGTTTGGTTATTTTAGGGTGTGAGCTTGGCCCGAGATTCTGAGTTGTCCGAGCAGATTTCACATGAAATGGATACCCCAGTTATATTTTCTCATGGTGATGCCACAGGAGGTAAGTTTAGATTGAAGATATTATGACCTGTTTGTGTGCAATAACATGTGTGATCTAACCATGTTACTTCAGAGGAGTCTCTAAATCTTGACAGAAATGCTTTTATAAGTTTATCAAGATGCATAAGACATATATTGGTCACTTTCGTAAGGTTGACCAGGAACCATTATTTCCACAAGGACATTCACTTACTGATTTACATACTGATATGTGTGTTTAATTACCATTAGCTGTGTTCGAAGGAAGAATCATGCGTTTCAACTCCAGAAACAGATGTTCACTGACATAGCACCTTTGACTCAGTAGCTGCCTAACTTGAACATGCATTGCTCACCTTGAACTTGCATTTCAGTCCTTCAACTTGCATTGCACTCTTTAAACTTGCATTGCACTCTTTGAACTTGCACCATTGCATGGCTCTAACTTACGTTCCACTTGGGGGCTGGATTTTGTGGGTGTAGTGCTGAGCTTTATACTAACATACATTAGTGAGTGGGTGAAGAGATAAATGTGGATATCATGTTAATATCTTTGCATCAGACACTAAAAGAGCTTTATGAATCATTTCCATGCAAGTCTAAGGAGCCATGTATATTCCTGTGCCCTTGTAATTATGGACACAGTGGAGAAGCATTGAACTGCAGTGCCCACTTCCTGAAGGAAATGTGTAGTCTGTTTGTGTTGCCTAGGCTGAAAAATGTGGCATGGACAACAGAATTTTGTCATTAACATCAGCTGAGCAAAGGTTTTATACAGTCCTGACCCTTGTTCTGGTAGTATTTCAGTCTCAAAATGGAATTCCATGTTTTTGTTTTATATCTCTGTTCATAAGTTTTGTTGAAAATAATCTGAGATTTAAAAGGTTTAGAAGCTCTGGGCTGATCAGTCATGTTTCTCACCCTTGAATGATATGCCTTTTTTAACATCATACCTGTAGTCAAGGCAAGTATACCTTTCCTCTGAGTAGGGCTGTGTATAGGAAAATAAATTGTTTTACAGTATGTTGAGATACTAGTACCCATATTCCGATAAGTATTGCGATATAGTGGGAGCTTCAGATTTTGACAGTAAATGACATTGATTGTACACACATAGCCTATTTTCTCCATACTAAAGCCCTAAAAATAAATGTTATGGTTGTGATAACTGAAATCTTGAATTTCGATTTGATTTTGAGGGATTGTATTCTCTTCTTTTTTATAAAATCTTTGGTATGGAAAGTATGCTGTTTTGTCAGTAATCACTATGGAAAACTTCAGTGTGAATGAAAGATTTTAACTTAACCCATAGAGATGATCACAAAACTTCATATATTTTTATTACCCAATATACTGTTTCTGAGAAAAAAACATTGCAATATGTATCGATTGAAAGCCGTCTTGCGATACCGGTAACACTATGCAGTCGTACCTCTGAGACTAAAGATGCAAAAATACAACCCTAAGCACTTTTCAAAACAGCAAGCAACTCACAAACTAACCATGCAATAGAGAGGTTGGGGACATCTCACTCACTCACTCACTCACTCACTCTCATATTTGTTAAGTGGTGATGGTAAATCTTTTACTTTGACATGCTAGTCCTCTTACCTTCTAACTGAATGTTTGATAAGGGTCAAACAGTAATTTTATAGACATATGACAATGCATTTAAGACTGTTAATTCTGCATTCTTTTCTACCTGTTTGTATGTGGCTGCCATTATTGACTAACATTGTAGTAACTGAGCTTGTGTAGTGGTAGTACCATTCTTACTGTACATTATCTTCACCTGTAATCACGGGTATGGCAACCCCATGTCAGGGAGCATACTTCTACCTACCTCCTTTGGATGCTGCTTGAGCCCTTCCACCCTTGCTTGCTCTGTGTGACCTCATACCCCTGCTTCTTGTGTTTCAGTGGGACGGAAGTTCATGCTCCAGTTGTTCAATATGTTTGTGTACATAGCATTAGCTGTCACTAGCCCTAGCACTGTTTCTGGACTTGAATTGAATGATTCTCCTGATTTGAATTCATACTTATCCCCAATTCCTGCCCAACGACCAGGTCAATCCCGAATCCTTGTTTGTCAATCCGAAGCAAGCTCTGCAACCTCAATGGGTGGCAGTAGCCAATGTGAGACGAGGATACAGCCAGGTTATAGTGAGGGCAGCGAATCAGCAGCCTCATCACAAACAGGGGAGGGTGTGTCAGCCACTGATGCTACCTCTGTTGTTTCATGTTCGCCTGAGCTGTCTGCTCTCTTAAGTTCATTCTTAGAGGAAGGTAATTAAATGTGTTGCCTTAAAATGACCATACTTTTGAAAGGGATGTTCTATAAAATGCCTTTCTATCCCATCAAGTACTGAAAGATAATCATCTGAAGGTTTCTGACATATATGCAATATTATATCTGTAACTATTCGTGTCTTCTTTCCTGAATCCTCCTTGTTAATACCCATGTCCCTGGTATGCTAACCATAGTATGATAGCCAGAAGATAAGAATTAACAAGTACAAGAGATTTAATGCAGTAGATTCTTCTGTTGCAAATGAATATCTAATTGAAACAGTATTTGCTCAAATTTTGTTAACTAATCATTTTTTTTTATGTTTTCAGACCAGAAAAGATGAAGAAATAGGAAATTGGAATATGTGTGTGCTAAATGGATTCATAATTCTGGACTATAAATGAAAGATATTTCTTGATGTTTGACAACCTGGTGAAAAAGTTGGTTTTTAGTTGCAGAGCAACTCATGTACATTCTTAGTTGCTACGCAGTAATGACAAATCATGATATGTGGTGCCTGCGTCCATAACTGTGTGTGGAATGTTTTGAAACTGAACATGCAGGTACTTTGCCCTTACTGTACATGCTAAAAAGGATAATTATTTAAGAATTATTTACATCTCTCAGTGTTATTACACCAGTGTCTCAAATGTAAAGTCCCCGCATGGGCACAAAGTATGAAGCCCATTTCTGGTGTCCCCCCACCATGATATTGCTGGAATATTGCTAAAAGTGGCGTAAAACTAAAAACTCACTCAAATATAAATAATTACATAAGCAAGATGTAGTATTTCAAATAGATTCATTTGTCATCTTTTAATAGAGTTTCGTTCATTGTCCTTAAAAGATACATAGTGCTAATTCAAGAATGGTATATCTGGCTAAACATTTGAAATTGATACATAGAATTATTGGAAATTACTGTAAATATCAGGTCACCATCCTTATTAACATTTGTACTGCTTTGAAAGAACATTGTTGTAAATACATCAATAAACATCCCTGTTGTTACTGTTTACTGAATCATGTTTTGTTGTTCTAGTAAGGCGGTCATTCATTTCCAATCTAATATCATCATCTGTGGAAAGCATGCCTATCTCAACCTAACACCAGTTTCTAGCACCAAACCTGAAGCAATGGCATGACTAGAAGGACATATTACTTTGTTGTTAAGGAAGCTTGATTCACCCTTTCAAAGTTGATCGCCTCAGTGGTCCAGTTGACAGAGCACCTGCCGCCAAGAGGAAGATTGTTGGTCCTACCCGAAGACGTTAAAAAATAGTTATTACCTTGCCCGGCATGCGACCTAAGGGGGCTATATCAAGGAAGCAATGTATACTGGGTATTTGAGGTATCTCGTGAACTAACACTTTAAAACTTGCTCTCACACACATGCATACACATAGCACATACATGTCTCACATGCATGCACCTATAATACAATCAAGTCTCCACCACACAATCCAGTGACAGGCATCCTTGCATTGTGTAGACAAGAGTTGATTATTGACAGACCCATGTCATACTGTTGAGTGCGTCATTAAACATCGAACAGACAAAACATAAGGATTGTGTGAGGTTTTGGATGATTATAATTGCACTAGCAAAGCTTTTAAATAAGCTAACTGGATAAGAATACTTCGTCTTGAATATCTTTGGACCTCAGTTTGACTCAATGCCTGATTATGTTCAGTTTGAAACATGGGTACTATAGATCTATCCACTTTAATTACTCACCCGTTGAAGATGTCACTGTTTAATAATTTTACCATGTTATTACACATTGTCACCTGGCTTTATTTTTGCAATAAATGACATTGTGTAATAACATCGCATGATGTTGTACGTATGACGCGAAAGTGGTTTACAGTTATGACGTCACAATGCTAATACCTCTGTCCCAATAGTATTAGACTTTGCTTGACTCGCGGAAAGGTGAGTCATCACACTCGTTGAATTCTTAGGAAAATGGTACTTTGCTCGATATTATTTTGCTAATGTTGGGTGAGTAATAAATAAAATACTAAACTATGTCCCGTGCAATACCATATTTATGAAACTCGTGAATGGTATTGGTATCTAACTCGCTTTCGCCAGTTAGATACCAAATCATTCACTCGTTTCATAAATATGGTATTACACGGGACATCGTTTGGTATTCTCTGTATATAGAACCATGAAATGAGGCTGATAATAAGTAACAAATATAACTGAATGTGTGCTAATAATTATAAGGGCAGCATTTTTATAACCCCGCTAGGAAGTAATGGGGGTATATAGCGTTCATTCTGTCCGTCAGGAAACTTTGTCCGTAGCATATCTCTTAAAGTTTACATGCTAGGTTCACCAAACTTCACACACATGTTCATCATTACCCATTGATGTGCCTTTTGCTATTTTAAAGTTTTTTCAGAATTTAGTTTTTTTGCTGTTTCCATGGAAACACGACTTGGTGCAAAATGTGTTTGATGGTTACCTGGCCACAGCATATCATCCAAACTATACATGGTAGGTTCACTAAACTTAATACACAAGTTAATCATGACCCACAGATATGCCATGTGCTAAAAAATAACAATCTTCATCAGTCAAGTTCAATTATATGTCAGGTTTCCACGGAAAACACAAAAAAATAATATTTCCATAAATTATTACTGTAATCAGTACATGGCAAAACTATTATCTAACATGTATATAAAGTTTAGTATAGTCAAGGAGAAAGTCTTGTGAGCTGCTGATCCTTGTCACATTATATATATCAATATCAGTCATTTCCATGTCCCAAAGTGGGAAGCGGGGATATGTGAGCTGTGCTCACTTCTACTCATGTTATTTTGTCTTTCTCATTGCTCGACCGACCCTTCTAATTTTATTACCGGGGAACACGCACGCATACACACAAAAGGATGCTGACGTACCCGATATTCACTCGGTAAAGTAGCAAGAAGAAAACAATGTTCAAACGGTAAAAGAACGCACTAGAATAGTTGCTTCACTCAGAAAACACTATGTAATTACACACATAAGACAACTTGCATTAACCACTTTCTAAATGGCGTGCATTAATAGTTTTCGGCCAACAGGTTTGTGCCAAATTATTTATGATAAAGTTAATATTTATATAGCGACTGTTCCAACAAATTGCTAAGACGAGATTAGGCAAAGCACTGTCAAAAAGCTGGAAAGAATGATAGAAAATGTTAAATGTGAAAAGGAAATTGAACTTTGCAAAAGGAAGTGATGAACACAAGTGGTAGCCGATGTGAAAAAGAAGGCTCCAGGGGGAGTGGAACCCTCGACCTTCTGCTTACTAGGCAGACGCTCTAACCAACTGAGCTATAGAGCCGATGGGATAGAAAAAGCTACAATAGTGTAAACTGCCTTTATGATTCACCTGAGTTAAAAGAATCGGTTTATGTCTGTTCGGGAGGCCTGTGACATGCGATTCAAATAATACCTATTCCTACACACGCTCTGACACCAGTGTCATTTTGCTGGAAACAATGACAGCAATTAAGAAAAGGAAATTGAACTTTGCAAAAGGAAGTGATGAACACAAGTGGTAACCGATGTGAAAAGAAGGCTCCAGGGGAGTCGAACCCTCGACCTTCTGCTTACTAGGCAGACGCTCTAACCAACTGAGCTATAGAGCCGATGGGACAGACGAATCTACAATAGACCATACTCCATTTATGTTTCACCTGGCTTTAAAACGAGCATGAAAATGTAATCGTTTATGTCTGTTTTGGAGGCCTGTGACATGGATACAAATAATACCTATTCCTACACACGCTCTGACACCAGTGTCATTTTGCTGGAAACAATGACAGCAATGTTAAATGTGAAAAGGAAATTGAACTTTGCAAAAGGAAGTGATGAACACAAGTGGTAACCGATGTGAAAAAGAAGGCTCCAGGGGGAGTCGAACCCTCGACCTTCTGCTTACTAGGCAGACGCTCTAACCAACTGAGCTATAGAGCCGATGGGACAAACGAATCTACAATAGACTATACTCCATTTATGTTTCACCTGGCTTTAAAACGAGCATGAAAATGTAATCGTTTATGTCTGTTTTGGAGGCCTGTGACATGCGATTCAAATAATACCCATTCCTACACACGCTCTGACACCAGTGTCAAACAATGACAGCAATGTTAAATGTGAAAAGGAAATTGAACTTTGCAAAAGGAAGTGATGAACACAAGTGGTAGCCGATGTGAAAAAGAAGGCTCCAGGGGGAGTCGAACCCTCGACCTTCTGCTTACTAGGCAGACGCTCTAACCAACTGAGCTATAGAGCCGATGGGACAGACGAATCTACAATAGACTATACTCCATTTATGTTTCACCTGGCTTTAAAACGAGCATGAAAATGTAATCGTTTATGTCTGTTTTGGAGGCCTGTGACATGCGATTCAAATAATACCCATTCCTACACACGCTCTGACACCAGTGTCAAAACAATGACAGCAATGTTAAATGTGAAAAGGAAATTGAACTTTGCAAAAGGAAGTGATGAACACAAGTGGTAGCCGATGTGAAAAAGAAGGCTCCAGGGGGAGTCGAACCCTCGACCTTCTGCTTACTAGGCAGACGCTCTAACCAACTGAGCTATAGAGCCGATGGGACAGACGAATCTACAATAGACTATACTCCATTTATGTTTCACCTGGCTTTAAAACGAGCATGAAAATGTAATCGTTTATGTCTGTTTTGGAGGCCTGTGACATGCGATTCAAATAATACCCATTCCTACACACGCTCTGACACCAGTGTCAAACAATGACAGCAATGTTAAGTGTGAAAAGGAAATTGAACTTTGCAAAAGGAAGTGATGAACACAAGTGGTAGCCGATGTGAAAAAGAAGGCTCCAGGGGGAGTCGAACCCTCGACCTTCTGCTTACTAGGCAGACGCTCTAACCAACTGAGCTATAGAGCCGATGGGATAGACGAATCTACAATAGACTATACTCCATTTATGATTCACCAGGCTTTAAAAATCGTTTATGTCTGTTCGGGAGACCTGTGACATGCCATTCAAATAATACCTATTCCTACACACGTTCTGACACCAGTGTCATTTTGCTGGAAACAATGACAGCAATTGTGAAAAGGAAATTGAACTTTGCAAAAGGATGTGATGAACACAAGTGGTATCCGATGTGAAAAAGAAGGCTCCAGGGGGAGTCGAACCCTCGACCTTCTGCTTACTAGGCAGACGCTCTAACCAACTGAGCTATAGAGCCGATGGGATAGACAAAGCTACAATAGTGTAAACTCCCTTTATGATTCACCTGAGTTAAAAGAATCGGTTTATGTCTGTTCGGGAGGCCTGTGACATGCCATTCAAATAATACCTAATCCTACACACGCTCTCACACCAGTGTCATTTTGCTGGAAACAATGACAGCAATTGTGAAAAGGAAATTGAACTTTGCAAAAGGAAGTGATGAACACAAGTGGTAGCCGATGTGAAAAAGAAGGCTCCAGGGGGAGTCGAACCCTCGACCTTCTGCTTACTAGGCAGACGCTCTAACCAACTGAGCTATAGAGCCGATGGGATAGAAAACGCTACAATAGTGTAAACTGCCTTTATGATTCACCTGAGTTAAAAGAATCGGTTTATGTCTGTTCGGGAGGCCTGTGACATGCGATTCAAATAATACCTATTCCTACACACGCTCTGACACCAGTGTCATTTTGCTGGAAACAATGACAGCAATTAAGAAAAGGAAATTGAACTTTGCAAAAGGAAGTGATGAACACAAGTGGTAACCGATGTGAAAAAGAAGGCTCCAGGGGGAGTCGAACCCTCGACCTTCTGCTTACTAGGCAGACGCTCTAACCAACTGAGCTATAGAGCCGATGGGACAGACGAATCTACAATAGACCATACTCCATTTATGTTTCACCTGGCTTTAAAACGAGCATGAAAATGTAATCGTTTATGTCTGTTTTGGAGGCCTGTGACATGGATACAAATAATACCTATTCCTACACACGCTCTGACACCAGTGTCATTT